CTAGGATAATATAGTGATCAGAGGAGAGTGCTGTACGTCCAGGATAGTAGAGGACTAGGATGTAGTGATCAGAGGAGGAGTGCTGTACGTCCAGGATAGTAGTAGACAAGGATAATATAGTGATCAGAGGAGGAGTGCTGTACGTCCAGGATAGTAGTAGACAAGGATAATATAGTGATCAGAGGAGAGTGCTGTACGTCCAGGATAGTAGTAGACAAGGATAATAGTGATCAGAGGACTATAATGGAAATATATTGTGTGTAAAAAATTAGAAAGGAGTCTTTCTAGAAAGAGTAACGAATACTTGATGCATGTTTGGATTGTAAAGTATTTAGGATCTGGAATATAGGACCTAACATCTAGTAGCCTAATTACGCAGAACTAATAAGTCCTGATGTGGTAATGCTGACATTGGTAAATATGGTCCTGGACCAGAGTGGAAAATTTGGAGCACTAATAGGCTGTGATCCTGATTTTGGTAATTTAGCACTGTTTTATCTGTAATCCTGGATTTTTTACAAAGTCTCGCTAGTATTCTATTTTGATCTTTTATTTCAGTTGTACTTCATATTTTATATGTATACCAATATTTGTTAATTGAAAACAGTAGTGTTCAGAACAAAAATTAATGATCTTCATTCTAGTTTTAGAGCACTTGCCATGATTTGGAATGGATGCAAAGAAGTAACCACCAGTTACAAAGTAATTTAGTCCAAAAAACAAATGCAGATTACAAGTTTTTTAAACAAACTTTTATTTAAATGTTTTTAGTAGTACATATATTGATAATTATTATTTACTTTGCTGATTTATAACTAGAAAGATTTGCAATCATGACCTCATTCATTTATTTCTCTCAAAGTTCCAACTAGTCGTGTAATGCTTGGCTTAAATAAGGCATTTATGAAATGAAAGCTCTTAGTTTGTTCTGTTTCATTAAAGAAAAATAAGAAATGTATATCTTTTTACGACAGTAAAAGTTTAATTTGTAAATGAATTGAAAGTGTAAGTACAATATATTTATTTTATTTTTCTAGTATCGAGAAGAAAGGTTTCGCCAAACTAGTGAGAGCACAAACCAGCGAGTTTTGTGGTGGGCTATTGCTCAGACATTTGTTCTTCTTGTTATGGGTTTCTGGCAGATGAGACACTTGAAGAGTTTCTTTGAGGCTAAAAAGCTAGTGTAAACACTGAAGTTTAGTTCTCTTGATTGTTGTTATATTTCTCATTCAAAAACAGTCACATTTTTCTTTGAAATGTGTAATCCATACTCTGTGCAGAAACAATTTTACCTAAACTAGATAAAACCACATTTGGAAAATCAGCTAATAACATTTGCTTGGTGTGTGTTTTAGTATTGTTCATTTGAAAACTATTTTATATAAACTTGCTCTTGATTAAGTCACAGATTAAATCAGCAAGGAAGTGTTGATATGGAACAAAACTTACTGTTTTTTTCAAGAGGAATGAGAATAAAGCTGAAATAAAACCACCAGAATTGTTTTCACTGTATGTTAATGGTGTCACTGTTAAAAAAAACAATAGTAATAAATTTAAGAACTTTTCATTTTATTCAGTACTATATAACTTGGTGGTGTTTTAATTAAGTTATTACTTCATTGTTTTGCTCCTCAGAAATATACTCTTAATCTACTCTCACATCGAAAACTTAAAACTGCTTTTGTCTTCTTCACAAACTATGGAATAAATAAAGCAGGGGAAAACATTTAAATCTAGAATGCCCAGTATTTGATATTTTTGTGGTGTAAAGATTTTATAAAGCTGTCACTATTTAAAGAGAAATAAATCTTTTTGAATTCACATGTTATTCTGTGTTTTTGTAACCTATACTAATTAATCTGTGTTTTGTGTAGCATGTACAGTTAAGGCAGTAAAGCAAAACTTAAAACAAAAAAGTTTTAACTTAGCCAATGTTGTCAGAAAACAAAGTTCTAAAGCCAGACCACTGAGAATAGTTAAGTCACAACATTATGATGTCATTATCAGAGCCAATAGTTTGATTAATCTAAAATGCCTTCCCTCTAGCATTCATTAACGAAAGTATTTTTTAATATCTTGATAAAATGTACATTCCCAAGGTTCCAGACTTCAATGTTCCTAAATGTTCTATCACCTTGATTGGTTCTTGGGGCATCAAACTAAAAGGAAAAGTCAAGAAAATTTTACAATAACTTATCCCAAAGTCAGCCAAAGAGTGATTTTCAAACTGAACAAATGAATATTTGAATTTTTTACTTTTGAAAGACAATGTTTCTTAACAGTCACAATATTAGCATGTTATTATCATAGCTGTTACAATTTCCTGTTTGTCTCTGACATGCTTCTGGAGCTGCATAAAGTACTTTTAAATTTTATTTTGTACAAACTGAAATACCCATCAACTGAAGGGGAATGTTTAAACTTAATTAAAACAATGCAAGTTTAACAGCAATCATATATTTCAAAGTAATAACTTGAACATAAACTTTATCTCAATATTCTAAAATTATAACAAAGCTTCTTCATAAACATTTTCAGTTTGCTTTCTATCTACCAACAAATAAAGATTTTGAGTTTATCCTACATTTCACTGACCAGGAGAAAAGCATGGTTGTTTGAGAGAGAATCCAGCAACTTTTATAGTTTGACCTTGAATCCCTTTAGAATATTCAACACTGTCTGAAGTAAACCTGCCAAGATTTACTCAATAGGCTGGAAGTAATTAACCAACAGGCTTTACAAAATATAAGTAGGATTAAGTTCACTTTTGACCCCCTTACGACATTCTCCATAATCATAGTGTTTATGTACACATTTTGGTTGAGATTGGCCCAATAAGCTCGGGGAGTTATGGTGCAAACAAACATTTTGTTTTTATAGATAGAAAATTGAAATTTTTCAATGAATTATGTTAAATTTCTTGCAATATTGTTCGAAATGCAAGAAAATTAGTATACATATTCCTTCTCATGATTCAGACAATTTTTGTTTGCTCTTCATACCAATAGTAATTGTTTTCTTGTATTTCTGAAACATTATTCTACATCTTAGTAGAGGAAAACATTTTATATTATGTATGTGTATTAATTTGTATGGGAAAAGTGTTATCTTTGTGGCATCAACCCCATTTCACTTAAAGTTGTTCATTGTCTTAATCATTTCTAGTGCTGTATGTCTATCAAATATAGTAAAAACATGGCTGAGATAGTTATGTAAGCAATCAGTACTACTGAGTTGCATTTAGTTTAACATCCACTGTAGTGTAAAGAACCTGATCATATTTTTTTGCAGCAAACCAATTATTTGTAGTGATAAGATTATAGAAAAATCGTCCACAGTATAAATCCTTTGGTTAACTAATTTGTTTAATACTACTTCCCATAAAACTTAACTTTCTTTTTGAATTCTATAAAGAGTTTTTGTGTGGAGCATACAGTAAAACTTTCCTTATCCCAAAGCTGTAGCTTATCTATTTAATGGTGAAAAGGTACTTATGGCTTCAGATTCAATGAGAAACTGGAGCACACACTATATACTTGATCTTCCTTCCTAAGCCCTAGAGAGTGTGCTTCAACACCATATGCTCCAGCCTGGAAACCATATATTTCCTGGAATTACAAGCCATTTTAAAGAGAAAAAGATTGTCTTTAAAAAGGTTGTTTCTGGCATAAAAATTTATAATAGTAGTGATAACTACATCTCCTAAATTTTATGTTGAATAACAAAATACAATATTTTGATGACTACACGTTTCAGTACTAAATTGGATGCAAAGTTTGGAAAATATGGAACCATCATTATTCACTTTCATATGGCTCTACTATATCCTAGGTGAGTTTAAACTTCAGAGAAATATTAGCTAAGGATAAACATTATTTCTGGTGAATCACCAGTTGTGTATTAGTAGTAGAAATTACATGAAATGTTACACAAGTACAAAACTGATTATTGTATTAGTGGTGTACGTAACATTTCATGTAATAATCATTGTTTTGTACTTGTATTGTATTAGTAGGTCCAGTAACATTTCATGTAATTCAAGTACAAAACAATGTTTTGTGTAGTAAAAGTATTCAGGAAAAAGTTACCACAATTAATACTTAATAACATGACTACACTAAATGCAATAAGTCAGCAATCACATTTTTAACCATAAAAGTTTTTTGACTAAAGTGAACATTAAATGCATGATGTATCTTTATTTTATTTTCAACAGGTTAAACAAAGGGTTCTGCAATCTCAAAAGTTTGAGAACAACTGTCTTAGATTACTAGCTAATCTGTAATGGGTGAAAAGTATCCTAATTCAAGGATAAAATTGTACATGTAGTCAAAGTGACTTCTTTATGTTGAATATTCCATTAGAAAAGTAATTTTTGCTACTGAAGTTAAATATGGTATTTTAATGTAAACATTAAATCCACAATTAGCACTGACATCTTTAATGAAATGTTTTTAATAAGGTCAATTCTGTTCAAAATCTACAGTTAGAATTTTTTGAAACATTGTTTTCTGCATATAAATAAATCAATTTAAATGCAATAGTTAAAAATATTCAATATTTAATGAGCTAACTTAATACACTTTTATTTTAACAAATATAATAGAGAAAGGTTTTTCCTTTGAGGAAAACTGACTTTGTATTATAGGTTAATCCTTCTTAAAGCTACAACACAGGATCACAAAAAAAGGAATAATTTAGGGAAGCCTTTCTCACATATTTAATCTTAAGTTATTCTAGTAATTATTACTTGATATATCAGAATGTTAACTCACTAGAAATACATCTCCATTCAACCTACTTCCACTAACTTTTGTAGCATACCATATCAGTTTTAACTAGTTGCTTTTCTTAAATCACTTGGGGCTTGAACATCTTGCTAATTCTGACATACTTCTAACCATCATCTCTTCCCAAGTTTTATTAAATTATTTATAATACTTGCAGACCACACCAAAATAGCAAGACAATTTCATTTGTGCTTGTCAGTATGCAGGTAGGAATATTCTATTAATAACTGATTTATATTATAAAAATACCATCCCTTATCTAATGATGACACAAATATGTACAGTGTTATTGTTATTGAAGGGTATAGTTAGTTTAATACAGACCGAAGAAAAACATCTTGTGTGGACTGGGAAAGTCATTATATGAAGTCATGAATATAAAAATTTGAATGTAAACTTTACAGTGATTAAGTCAATAACTAGACAAAAACATATTTACATGTAAAAAGAATAAAGTAAATGTGAAGGTTTAAAAGCTTAGCTTGACATTCAAACTTGTAAATGGATGTAGACATAATTTGGAATGAGAGTGCACTGAAAACAAATCAAGTATAGAAATCAATGAAAAGAAAATTTAGATTTTTATAGAAATTAAAGAAAGCATGTACACAAAGAAAACCATACAACTAAGGAGAATTTATGAAAATAAAGAATCATTAATGTTATCTACAAGATTAACACACGTAGAGAAATAAAAAACCTACAATGCTAAATACTGATTACAACTAACAACAAAAACTTGGGAACCATCCCAGTACAAAAAGGACAGAATGCACTAACCTCCTAGAGGTTCATGTATATTCACTTATTTTAATTATCTCCTTTTCATATTAAAATACTGTCAATAACTTAAGAGTAAAATAATGCACATAGATATCATATTTACAATACTCACATAAAACATTATTCTCAACTGAATGAACAAAAATATCAGAAAATTTTACCTTCAAAATTTTATTCATTAATAATGATTTTTAATCTGTGCTAATCACTTCTTTATACAACAGAAATGATAAAATCATGGTATAGATTTATAAACTATCTTTTCTTACAAAATCTAACCATGACACAAACTGTTACACCCTCTGAAGTAAAAATTAACGTTGAGATCACTTTTTTTTTAAACTGATTCTTCATCGCTTGGTTGTTGTAGACGATGTGTAAGAAGAACCGACTCGCATCCTTGAATGTCGGGGTCTACTCCAAGATTTTCTAGTTCTGTTAGCACTTGTTCAAGTGTCAAATCAGAAGAGGATTTGGTTGTATTGTCTGTGTCTTCATAAGCTCCATCTGGTGTGATGTCACTAAGGGCTGCTGTCATAGTGTTACTGCACTCGGATATATTGGACTCTTTGCCCTCTGACTCTCCTTTCTTGATTAAACTGCCAAAGTAGAAAATGTTTTTGATATGTAATCTCAGATACATATCAGTGTTAATTCTAAAGTACTATTGTATTTCAATATCTATTCCAAAAAATTAGTGGTAATTCTGCTGAAAGACCAATGTTCAGTTGGTTAGTATAAGCTATATATTGGTGTATTAAAAACTTGACCAAACAAGAAAAATCTCTAATCAGTGATTTTGACCAACATGTCATAAAAAAAATTAGCATGATATTTCTTTACTCCAGAATATTTCCGTGTTTAGTCTCAAACTTTTGATTATACAACTCTTGGAAATACATCATGGTACAGATACTTCTACTAATTAGTATGAGTTGGGAGTTTATCTCCCTTGGAAATACATTATGGTACAGATACTTCTACTAATTAGTACGAGTT